GACCCAAATGCCTTTCTGAAAATGAACGTCTCTAGCCGCTACTGTCAAATGAATCTCAACCACTTCAGTTGATTGACAAGCTTGCAAAAACAGCACATCCATTCTTTTCTCGTGATCCTCAGGTATGGTCTGAAGGACCGGCCTTGAAGCACTTGCCACTTCTTCCGGTCTTATAGTGGGAGAATCTCTATACGGAGTTCTACTCCTATGCCTTCTTTGAGGATTCTCTACCCGATGTTCAGTTTCTCTGCGATCTGGGTGATCAACATTTCGATGTGACTCATGCGCATCTGCATCATGGCTGAGTCTTCCTGCAGCTTCTGAACTTCTGGGGTTGTTTCCTCTGTTGTCACCTTCGTCCAGGCATCGAAGTCGCCCCGCTCGATCTTCTCGTCGAAGAGCGCATCCATCTCGCCACGCTTCTTGCTCCACTCTGTCATCATGTGGTGACTCTCTTTTTGTCCCCCGTAACCCTCCTTGTTTTCCATCTGATCCACCAGCTTCTGTGTTCGTCGTGTCAGGTAGATCGCGAACATCTGCATGGTCGGGTTGCTCTTTGAGGGATCCACGTGAGCCGCCACCCATTCCGCGTAGCCCGGTTCCAGAGCTGCTTCTTCGAAGTTCAGACCCTTGCGCTTCCCGAAGTCGATCTTCCATGTCTTCAGGTCTGCCATTGGCATGGTCTGAGCTCGTTCCACCATTTCTTTGGTGGCGATCTTGTTGCCCATCTTCTTCAACTTCTCGAGGTTCTCCTTGAGAGTCGGCTCTGGCTTGCTTCCAGTTCCGCTCATGGCTGGTGGTCAAATCAGGTGGTTCCCAATCTGGAGGCTGTTCGACCGTCAAAGATCTCTTGCTTGAGCATCGGAATCGGGGCACACATTCGTCGGGTGACTGTGTTGGCATCTCACAATCTTCAAGTGCCAAATCATGAAATTTTTGTTGCTTTCTCAAAGTTTGATACATTGTCTCGAAATCAGCCGGTCCGTTTATTTCTAAATCGATCTTCTGCACATCTTGTGTCACGGGTCTCAGTTGTTCGGGTGAACATCGAAGAAGAAACCCAGCATGACTTACCCAAACGATCGATCCGGGATGATTCGTCAAAACTTGCTCTGAACTCTTCTCATGACACAGCACACGACCAGGACCATGCCATCGACCTCCTACTCTAGTACCTTCTTTTCTATCTCTTCTATAGTAGTAAACAAGTTGTCCTAGAGTATATTCTCTCAGGGGTCGACTTTGCGCTCGAAGTGCCCGTTGAAGACGGCGTTGCGAATCTGCCTCAATGAACAGTTTCCTGGCTGCGGCTTCTCTTTTCAGGCTGGTCTCGAAGTCTGTGTCTTCCCTCTGGCTTTCCCAGGGTAGATGTCCGTCAAATTTCAAGAAGGAACTGATTCGTCCGTGGTTAGCTCCAAACTGCCATTGATTAGGCGTGTAGCCCCTCACATTATGCACTTCATTCTTAGCCATGACAGCGAGGTTCAGCAGTTCACGCGCGTCAGTGTTCGGTCCAAGTTCATAAGCCAACAAATTGGCATTCTCCTTCAGAATCTGGAGGTGTCTTGAATGTTTTCCCATCTGCCAGGCGCTCTCTCCACTGATGGGTTCCATTTTCATCCCAAGACTTTCTAACCAACTCACTAAATCCACACCCCTCATATAACCCTCTTCATCATAACCTCAATTTCTGGGGGATGGGAAACCGGCGAATCCACCCGTCCGAGAAGCCCTCTTTGAATTCTTTTCCTGAAATCGAGTGTTGTGGTTTCTCTCCGTTTCTCACAACATGAATAGTGTGGTAGTCGGTCGCTTCATCAAACAAGGAAATACCCACAACATGTTGTCCCTTCTGTCCGTCCACAAGTAACTCCTTTGGAACATGCCACCAAAAAGTGTCAACACTCACACATTCCCATTTGTTTCTAATGGGAGGAGGCGTGGCCGGATGACAAGGAGCTCTGCGTCCTCTCTGCAAAAAGTGGTCACAGCGAAAATTTTCAACCTGCTTCAAGACAGCTGGAGGCACACCTGCATCTTTGAACATGCGTTTCATGACTGGAGTGTTAGGATGTCCAAGGTTTCGATGAATAAGTCTTATTTGGTTCATCGTTCGAGTGTCAACATCTTGGTTTTGCTCGCCTAGTACAAGATCCTGCAATATCTTGAACTGAGTGGTCCCAGTCCATTGTCCGTGTGTTGTCATGTTCCACAGGATGTTCTCCAGGCTCTCTCCAATTGTCGTCGTGATCAATCCTATGTCCATCTGAGAATTCAGCCACTGTTCGGCGCCAAGATGAAATCTTCTCCAACTCAACAGGAGTCTCTACCTCATGTGGTTTGAACACCTGCGAACGAGGCGTGACGTGATGTCGGATCAAGTATCCACGGTCCTGGCTCCAATAGTTTTGACTGTCATTTGCCAAAACGTTGGATGATTTCTCAAATGACACATGCAAACAGCGAGCTTGAACTGGTTTCAAAATGGCCTTCGCAAAACGTGTGCGCAGTTGTCTAGGATAGACAGCTGTCTGTGCTGTCAGTGCGCCTTCCACTGGAATGTGCATCCCATGATCATGTGAACACTTACTTTCCAAAGCGTCTCTCACACCCACTAGAGTACTGAACCAGCCCCATGGTTTTCTAATGAGTTTACGTTAATTGGGGTCAATCATTCCATGACAACATCCATGAACCGTGAACCTCCCCCCACACATCCTAGCCATGTGACCCATGTTCGTGGCTCTCCAACTCTGCGCTCTGAGCGGATGTTCTCCTCCACCATGGAAGGTGTCACTGTGCCCACCTTGGCCGTCCAATTCCTTAAGTTGAATTTCCAGCAAACGTGCGCACCTGGTGATCAGTCGCTTGCTGCTGCATCTCATGTGTTCAAACTCTTGTCTTTGTTGTTCGTTTCGTTTTGTGCAATTCTGGAATGAACTCCACAGGAAACATGGTGGTGATATATGTAGGTACCTTGGCCTCAACTCACGAATAGTTGAAATAGCCTTCCTGTAGCCTTCCTGTGTGGTGAGATCATAACCATTGTGTATCCCGAGTGCAAGTGCAGTACCTCCCAACTCCCTGACAGCCTGGCGCAAAGGACTATCCCAAGGAGCACACACTTCTATCAGATCAATTCGATGACCTCCCACCAAGCCTTCAAACGTCCTGTCACCTTCATGAACGTTGTTTTCAACATGTTTCAACATCTTGTTGCGCTGTTTCGTGTGGAGTATGCTTTCCGGGTAATCCTGATCACAACTCGTTTTAACAAAACAAAACATTCTTGATGAGTCACAGCGTTTCCATCTTCCTTAAAATCAATTCCACTCAAGGCTATCAAGCTAAGATCAGCTTGTCCATTGCAGCCTTGGTGGAGCTGTTCCTACTCGTCCACCGTGCCCTGATCTCCAGTGTCGGCCTCATCGAAGGCCTTCTCTACATCTACACTGGCCGTCTTGTGCGGCAAGTCGGCATCTTTCCGGCTCAAGGTGTGGACTGCCTGGTCGATGTCTTCTTCTTTCACAAACAGCTCTTGCAGCGCGTCATAATGACCAGCGAAAGCCGTCAAGGGAAGCATCAGATGGTTGCTCTCTGTGCGCTCCAACTGTACTTGTCGATCACTCAGCTTCAGAAACACGGCTTTGCCTGTCCGGAAGTTGATGGTTGCATCCATGTCATAGAGGAACTTGGATGACAGCAGAAATGGCGTCTTTCCTTCAACCAGATGTGATTGGATCGTCTCACATGTGACAAGCCCAACCCAGCTGATGACTCTCCATTTCCAAAAACAAATCGTTTGTGGATCTGTCTGTCAACAACAATCTCTGTCTGTGGATCGAATTCCAGTTCTTCCAAACATTCCGCCAACTCTTGTAGTGTCTCCGCACCCACAATGTTGTCTGAAGCTCCTGAATCCACGATGGCCTTCCCTCGAAATGCGGCAGGCTGTAGTGCCAAGACCTGTCCGGTTGCCGCCTCCTGAGAACACAACACCCATGACGGGTCATTGTGACCTCTTCCGGTGTTGGGGTCATGTTCCCATTGACGGTCTCACTGATTGGCACGTTGGTCATTATCTGAACCTCCGGATGTGCCTCAGTGGATGATGATGAATTGTCATCATTGCACCAACCCACATATCCAATGCTGTTGCTCCCACTGCTTGCTGGTTTTTGTGGACAACGCTTTGCTGTATGCCCCTTTTTCCCACAGCGAAAACAGATTCGCTCAGCATCTGATGTTGGTGCTTTGCTTCTTGTGAATGAACGCATCGACTGACTTGCCTTTCCCCTGAACTGTCCTTGTCCAGGAGGTTTCACTGGATAGAAGCCACGTGCTGTTCTAGCTTGATCCAAGGCGCGTCTAGCTTCCTTGAAACTGGCCAAAACTTCTGCACTATCCTCTGTATCTGCGAGCAGCTCTGCGGTGGCGTCTTCACACCATTCTTCCAGTTCAAAGATCTCCTCGGTCTCTTCTCCATCCATGTCAGCCTCAGGTTTGTCGATCACCTCATCTTGATGATAGGCTTGTCCTGTAGCATGGGTCTTCTTTGGTCGGAGTTCGGCATCACGACTTCCCAGACCTCCACTACTCCACATCAACCTGAGGGCTGTCAGGACATCGTGAACCTTGTAGGAACTGGCCTTTCCACGAATGTTGGCTGTATCGGAGGGCGACATCCTCATGAAGACATTCAGAAGGAACCACCCGTACACCTCAGGTGGCATCTTTGCACTTGAGTTTGTCTCTGCAATCGCTCGCTCCATCCGACGCACAAGTGTCTTGAACCTTGTCTCGTAATCATTGATCTCCTCACCATCTCGTCGGCAAGCTTCTTTGCGCAGGAAAAACTCTGTAAATGTATCACCCAAAATGTCCACTTTTGCACGACCCCTTGTGTCTTCCAAAAAGGTCAACAAATAATGCCATTTTTCAGCCTTTTTCAACTGCTCTCTTTTGACTTCACCCAGCGTTTCAAATGCCTTGCCCACCAAATTGGCTGCCAATCGAGGTCCTAGATATGGCAGATCTTCTGTCTTGCAGGCGTCTGCCCGCAACTCCACTCGGATCTTGTAGTCCTCGTAGGTACTCCAAGTTCCGTCCCACCACGGAAACTTTGGATCGATCATCCCCTCATATTCCTTTGGAATATTCATTGAGCCCACTCCCCAAACAAAGTTGTCGCCAACAACCAATGTACAATGCTAAATGTCGCTCCCTGCAACACCAATGCACAACAGTTCAATGTCAGCTTCAACAATGTAAACTCAACACCACAAGCCCCTCGGAGCGAGAGGCTCCGCTACCATGTAAATTCGGTAGGGAGTCTCAAGTCCAACACAACAACTGGTCACCTTTCTCACACAACCAAATCCGAGCACAAACGTTGGTTTTCCGACAATGCTATGGTGGCAAGGTCGATGGAACGTCAGGCTATACAATCTAAGATCAGGGCACGTCTCGGGCCCACACACCATGGATACGCTTTCGGTCAACAGACACATTCAAATTCACAGGGGCCAACCCTCACACGGGGGCCAAGGCAAAACCACCTCTTCGGGGTAGCCGCCTTTAGGACCAGGTAGCCGCCTTTAGGACCAAAAGGCGGCTACCTGGACGAAACGGCCTATTGTTGGGAAGCCACTTGTCATTCAGCACATGTCATTCTATTTGTTACTCAGGTTCCTCTTCAAATGGACATGGCTCGAAGGATCATCTCATCCTCGGCGTCCAATGTTCATTGATGCATGTGTATTCAATTGCAACAAACCCTCTTTCAAGCCTAGCAATCCCTCTTATAACAACCCCAAAAAGCACCCATTTATAGAACTCGCCAAACACCATCACGGCGTTCCATGATGTTTGACACCATCACGGCGCCCTGATTTCACCCGCCCCACCATTCAATCATGCCAAAGCGACTGGGTCGAGCGCATGCTTTGCCTGGCAAGTGCTGGCTGCTCTGGCTAAAATACTTCCGCCAGAAGGCTCCACGGAAGTACTACTACATCCTAGTCCTCATTGAAGCCTTGTGCGTTCGGGTCACGCAAGTTTGCCAGCTGAAGGTTGAGGACGTGGATCTTCGCGGGCGGCGTGTGTGGCTCAAACCCTTTAAGCGACACAAAGGAGTTTGGAAGCCCTTGCTGCCTTCCATCGTGAAACAATTGAAGGAGTGGCGAGCAAAAGAATGGAAGTGGCCAAGGGAAGGCTATTTGTTCCCTTCGGAAGAAGGGTCCCAGAAGGAGCACATATCCAAAGACATTGTGGCACGCCATGTGAGAAACCACAGGAACAACTTTGTGCACAAATTTGGGCACAAGATGCCAGAGCTGCTGAACGGAGCGCCCATCAGGACGCACAGTGGGAGACGCCATGCAATTACTGCTTTGGCTGGAACTGGCATTCAGCCACAAATTGGAATGGCTTGGGCGCAAATTAATTCCGTCAGAGTGTACCAAACATATGTTGACCTGGACCCTGCAGAGGTCTGCTCTTCCGTCATCAAGCGCGACAAGAAGCGGAAATGGAACAAATAGAGCCGGACTTGCACGCAGCCATCATGCAGCAGCGACCAGGGGCGAAACACCTCTGCAAACTGTTACACCGGCGCAGAGTTGATGCCAATGCCACATGCCAATGCCACACGCTGATCTGAAGAAAAGGAAAAGCGTGACATGATAACTTATTCGGTTTGCAACCTGGTTGGAAGCAACAACATAGTCTTGGCCCAGCCAGCTCTGAAGCTCTGAGGTAAAAACTTGCAGCGTGATAACATCCCAGCCTCAGTGACGAGTTTGTAAGTTGTGAAATACTTTCCAAGCCAAATGATGCAAGGTTGAGAACGTCATGAACCTGAGAATGTCATGAACCTGATGGATTCCTTTATGAAATCGATGCCGTGATGGCATCCTTCAAAAAGCGTCATCACATATAT